TTGTGGGAGTATGGGAACAGGCCTGTTCTTAAACTCTCCCAGTTCAAGTACCATCCTGGCTTAGGAAAAGCAGGCTGGTACTGGGCTGTCTGGAGGGAATGCAAGCCAGCCACTTGGAGTTTCAGTGCAGTTGGTGGTGGGGAAGTGGAGAGAAGAATCCCACCCTGTGTGGATGCAGCCAGGCAGGCAGCTCCAGGGAAAATGATGGCAGGTGTGGAGTTTCTGATGCCAAAACCCCACAGTTTCATCCTGGCCCAGAGCTGCAATTGGGAAACTCCACCTTGAGGTACAGGAGATTGCCTGTGTTCCCATCTCCTTCTGGCTTCTGACTGAACCAGTTGGGCTAGTTACAGGGCAACTTTGCTCTGTCAGCACAGCAGGACCAGACTATGGGCCTCGCCTGCCAGCACAGAAAGAATACCTGTGATTTTCCTGGGGGGCAGAATGTCCCATGTATATGCCATAATGCAAAAACCCTCCAGACTCTCCTCTCTTTCTATCCACATGGGCTCCCTCCCTACTTGTGATCAGTTCACACATCTCCCTTCCTGACCTGCAAAGGACACAATCAAGTCACGGGATATGGGAACAGGCCTTCAGACCCATTCCTAGGACACCCAAGTCCAATCATCAACTCTGACTAGGAAAGGCAGGTTGGTCTCCAGCAGCCTAGCTGGTACTCAAGACAGCCACTTGGAGTTTTACTGCAGTTCTATGGGGAAAGGGGATGAGAAAGGATACCACTCTCTGTGGAAGAAGCCAGGCCTGCAGCTCTGTGAAAAGGCCAGAAGGTATAAAGTTTCTGGTCTCAAAACCCTTCAGTTCTGCAGTAGCCCATGGCCAGTGGGGGATATTTTTCCTTGGGTCGCCTGGGTTCTCATCTCCCTCCCTGGCCCAGAAGTGAGGTGGAGACTTCAGGGCAGGGCTCAGAGGATTAGAGGAAGTGCTTCCAATGAGTTCTAGGCACTGGTGTCTGTGGTTTAGAAGCCTGTAAAAACACCCGAGTTCCCTGCAGCTCTCTGGGGCTGTGGGTATAAAGGAATTATACCTGTTCAGTCAAAACTGGAAAGGTTTCAGGAAGAAGCCTGGGGCTCCAAAGGTCTCTTGCTTAACCCGTTCCTGGATCTCAGTTGGGGCCATTCAAGGCCCTCAAAAAAACCTCATGCAGGCAGTCTGTCTTCTAGCTTCACCCTGAGTGTTCTCTATCACCTCACTGTTGTCTTTGCTTTTTCTCCCTCTGATGATCTATTCGAACTGGGTTTTTGATGGATATCCTGGTGGTTCTCTGGAGAGGAAGTGTGTCTCTGCTTCCTCTAGTCAGCCATCCTGCCCTCCTCCACCAGGAGTTCTCTGAGCTTCTTGGATCTGGATGTCTAAATCTCTAGCAAGACCAGGGAAGTTTTCCTCAGTTTTTCCCTCAAATAGGTTTTCCAAACATTTTGCTTTTTCTTCTTCTCCCTCAGAAATACCTATGATCCTTATAATTGTATATTTTACATAATCTCATATTACTTGGAGACTTTGTTTATTTCCTTTAATTCTTTTTTTCTTTTTAAATTTTTGTCCAATTGGGTTAATTTGAAAGCCTTGGCTTCAAGTTCTGAAATTCTTTCTTCTGCTTGGTCTATCTAGTCTATTGTTAAAACTTTCCACTACAATTTGAAATTCCCTAATTCAGTCTTTCCAGAAGTCCTGTTTTCTTTTAATGTATCCATCTCTTTAGAACATTTTTCATTCGTGTCCTGAATTTTTTTTTATTTCTTTATGTTTGTTTTCAACTTTCTTGTGGATCTCATTGAGCAACTTTATAATCAATATTTTGAATTCTTTAACTGGCATTTCAAAGATTTCATTCTGGTTTCCATCCATTATTGGAGAGTTAGTGTGATCCTTTGGGGACATTGTAAAACCTTGTTTTTTCATATTGCCAGAATGATTTTTCTGGTTCATTCACATCTAGATAGACTATTTCTTTTTATTATTTTTGAATTTATTTTTGATTCAACTAGTTTTCTTTTTCCATTTTGAGGATGTGACTATAACGTGTATAGTTTATGATCACCTAGCTTCGCCTCTGGGTGCTTAGTGGCAACAACTTTGTATGAGTTTCTTGGTTACCAAAAATCTTTGTGCAATGGCTTTCTCAGGTGGCAGTAGCAATGTACTGGGTGTATGAGCAGATTCACTGTCTCCTGTGGGGCTGGAATGGTAGAAGTTTCTTGAAGTTTATCTTCTTTGCTAGTGGTGTGTACTTTTTTTCTCTAAAATTTTTTTCATTGGATTGAACAGTTTCGCCTTCAGGCCAGTAAGAGGTACCCACAGGTAAGACCCGGCTGCAGCTGAAACAGATGCAATACCACTATGATGGGCAAAAGTATCAGCCCAGACAGAGACAGCTGGGGGAGCTGCTGGTGAAATGCACTGGGGAAATTCTTCAAGGGGGAAAGGAAGAAGCTGCCTTACGTGTACTACCAGGCTGGCAGAAAAGTAATCTGCCTCCTCATAATGTCCCTATGCTGTTGTTTCAGATATTCAGTTGACAGGCACCTCTGTCCATATGCAGGAATGCTGACATTCTATTTAGAGAGGGAGTGGGACTGCGCCCCTTGTACAAGCCTGACCCTGGAGGGCACACCTCCCATGGGGATGTAGTCACTCCAAAATGCCCCAGAAAGACCGTCCTACAGGTACACCATATCAAGCTCCTGTGTACCTAGGTGTGGGTAAGAGAGAGGAAAAGTCCCCTTCTCCAGGTCCCTTCAGGAGCACTGGGGTTGCTCCACTGCTGAGGCAGAACTACAGTCTTCCCCAGCTGAGAATTTCAATGTCACCTAGTTAATATCACCAAGGTACCTAAAGAACTATAGATGGAATTGATTGAGCTTTCAGTATGGGATACTTTAAAGTTATTATTTGATGCTAAGAAAGATCCAGTTGAAATATGGAAAAATGCAGAATACCCACACCTTCAGCAACATGCCCCCAAAACACTTTCTTGCCTTTCAACCACTTATTGCTGAGAATCTACATTCTCCTACCTAGCCCAAATCAAGATGCCCTTAAGGTCACAAATGACTGAACCTATCTAGAAGACCAACTGGAACTGTGGACCTCCAGGCTGCAACCAAATATTCAAATGCCTTCCAACAAAAAGCAGACACAATAAAGTTGTTAAAAGATTAGTTAACTTTAAAATTAACAAATAGTTTTCATTTTTTGAAATTATTAAGTGCATAGTAGTTAGATTTTTACAAAATAATGTACATTTTTAAGTATACCTCATTGAAGTTTCTTGAATGTGGCCTTATTTAATTATAGCTAAATTAATACAGCCTTCTAATATAAAAAGGTTCCCCACCTTTGGTATTGACAATATAGTTTTTACCTTTGACATTATCAGTGGTGGGAGACATTAGTGGAACAAACTAACTCAGGAGAAGGTGAGTGTACTGCATGACACATGAAGAAGATCTCCTCAGTGGAACAAATGTGGCAAACCCCTTGGGGATTCCCAGAAGTATTTAATAGAAATTTGAAGGAATCAGAGCTTTATGAGCAACTGGAGCACATAACTAACTTTCTAGCACATAACTCATTTATTTCCCCTTCACTTATTATGTTATAGCTAGTATGTTATATATTAGTAATACAGAAATTAAAATGTAAATACGGGGAGTACAGACCAACTGGAAGTAAACATTGATATTTTTCATGGGTCCTACTCTTGGCAAGAACAGTTGAAGCAACAAATTTTCTTCAAAGAATGTAATTGTTCATTTTTCAGATATTTTCTTTATGACTTTGGCTTTCTAGGAAAGATAAAGATGGTGGTACTGCTACAGGACTTTCTTTTGGTCTCTGTAAAATTAAGAATTTGCAATTCAAATTTGTGGCCTGCATTCTTGGTTTGTATATAACATGTATGGCTTATTTAGACATAACCCCTAAGAGAAATCCCTTAAAGGTAATGTTTTTAACATTGGATCTATATATATGGAATTTTGGGAGTATACTTTTAGAGATGGACAATTGATACCCAGATATTTTTTTAATTGAAGTATGGCTGAGATACAAAAAGCCATATATATGTAGTGTATACATCTTGATGAGTTTGGAGATAAGTATACACCTATAAAACCATCACCATATATAATTTGCTGCACTCAACTATTGCCTCTAGAAGTTTCTTCTCTCTAGTTCTTAAAAGAACATTTAAAGTAAGGTCTACACTCTTAATGAAGTTTTAATTATACAATGTGGTATTGTTAGATATATGTACTATGCTGTACAGTAGATCTCTAGGACTTATTCATCTTGCTGTAATTGAAACTATGTATTCTTTGATCATCACCTACCAATTCCTCCTCCCCTACCCCTTGGTAACCATTCTAATCTCTGCATCTATGAGTTTGACAATTAAAATTCCTGATATAAGTGAAATCATGTAGTATCTGTGTCTGGCTTATTTAACTTAGTATAATATATTCCAAGTTTACTCATGTTATAACAAATAGCATGATTTATTTATTTTTTAAAGCCAAATAATATTCCATTGTATGTATATATTACATTTTTCCTATCCATTCATCTATTGATGAACATTTAGATGTTAGCATGCTTTGCTATTATAATTAGTGCTGCAATGAACATGGGAGTGTAGATATCTCTTTCAGATTCTGATTGACTTCTTCTGAATATATACTCAGAAGTGGCATTGCTGGATCATATTCTATATTTTGGGTAGCTATTGTAAATTGGATTGCTTTTTCACAGCTCACTGTAACCTTGATCTCCTGGGCTCAAGCGATCCTCCTGCCTCAGACTCCTGACTAGCTAGGACTAGAGGTGTGCACCACTGTGCTTGGCTAGTTTGTTTTTTATGGTGTTGGGGTCTTGCTATGTTGCCCAGGCTGCTCTTGAACTCCTGGCATTAAGCAATACTCTTGCCTTGGCCTCCCAAATTGCTGGGATTACAGGTGTGAGCCACCACATCCAGCCTGTATCCAATTTGTATTAATATATAGTTGAACTCAGATTATGTAGCCAGTTCCATAAATAAGAAAACATTTTTTGTAGGTTTTTTTTCTTACAGTTCTCTTATGTTTCAAGTTCCCAGGCCAGTAAGATTTGCTTAACAGAACTTTGTAACTTTCTGTTATACTGATGCATTCCCTGTTGAGTTTCTTTCCCAGAAATGGTGGATCTTCCTTGCAGTCATGAGATAACTACAAAGCCTTACACCACCTGTTTGTCTGGAGAAGACAAGATATGCAATACCCTACCACAAATCATGCCCAAGGACCCATTGAGCCTGCACATAAGGCTCAAAGAAAGACAAAATATTAACACCTAGTTCATTTTAATACTAAAATCCCTATGCTATGTGGGACTTATCCACCATTTTTTGAAAATGGGATGCATGTACTAGCATGATTTCTGACTGTGCTTTGGTGCCCTGCACTCTACCCCAAACACCTAATCATGCTCACTCCCCTCATGCATTATCCATTTCACTCTAGAAAAACTCCTGAGCCTGTTGATCAGGGAGGTGGCTTTGAGGCAGTCCATACCTTCCCCTCCCAGTAGATGTGTCTCCAGCAATAAATCCTTTCTTCCTTCACAATCCTTATTGTCTCAGTAATTGGCTTTTTGTGCAGTGAACAACATTGAACCCCCCTTGTGGGTTCATTAACAATTGTATATTTCGCCAATCACTATCCCATAAATTCTTGAGCAACCACTTTGAGCATATTCTTCTAACAAACATTGTAGTCTAATAGGAGGTGAAATTTTAAAAACATATACAAAACAGAAAATAGCAAATTTATAGGTGTTATAAAAGTTTATTGAATACGATAGCAGTAAGGGAAGTGGTAGAATATCAATATTGTCTAGAGTATTTAGGAAAGACTTGATAATAGAAGTGGAATATGATCTTACCCTAGAAAGTTACTATAATTTGGTCCAATAGTGAAAAGTGATTAGACTGTCTAGGCCAATGCAATGGCATGGGCAAAATTATGACGCAGAAGTGAGTTTACACTGTAGAAGAACATAGTCTGGAGTTGAAGAGGCTAACCAATTCCCATTATATTGAATTCAGAAATAAAATTGTATAGAAATGGTAGAGTCAGAGCACGATATACTTGAGAGGCAGTTATTTCTGTAGAAGTGAAAGATCTTTGTTGCTAAGCAGCTAAATCTAGAATTTAGTAACCTGAGAGACAAATGGGGGGTGGGGAGCTTATATTTCCCTGTGTTCTGTGTGGTCTCAACTACAAATCTTTGTTCATCGATAAAGGGTGGTACAAACCATCTAGACAGAAAAGGCCATGGAAACTACTATTTCTTTTACTGGTAGGTCATTCATTAAGTTTGGTTCTATGCATAAGTTTGTATCTAGAGTAGTCCTTTGGATAATGTGGCATTTCTTAAATTTTGTTTTGTTTTACTTTTTTAAAGATGGGAGTGACTTGAGTATGGCTAGGGAGTAGGGTAACCAATCATTCTGGGTTGGCTGGAACTGAGGAGGTTGCTGGGATGCAGGACTTTCAGCTTTAAAACCAGGACATTCACAGGCTTATCAGGATGAGTTGCTTACCCTAATTGCCAATAAGAACAGGCAAAATAGGAGAAGATGAAGATACAGTTGAGAGTAGGGAAAATCAATAGAATCGGCTCTCACGTAGGTAGAAGATAAGATCTAGAACAGAAAGTAAGGGGCTACTACCTGAATCTGGAGGGAAATCATGCTTCCACTGAGACTTGGGTGGGGAGTGAGATAGATGAGAGGTATATATGGATATGGATTCAGATAGGTTTGTAATGGTGAAAACCCTAGAAACCATTTTGCTCTTGAATTTGGTATCACTATAGATGTATTTTTTGCTGTGTTCCACAGAAAATTATCCATTTTATATTGTTACCTAGTGGGCCCACACACCCATACAGTCCCAAATTTTGGGCACCAAGTGTGCAAGAGTTGCTAAGAATCTTCTATTTTCTTAAAGAAAAAAAACTGCAGGTCATAGCCAATTAAATTAATCCCACGACTCTCTAATGGATCGGATATTAGTGACAGAGAGATGGAAGAATAGTGCATTACGGCATTAGGGTATGAGTAGGTAGGGGTCTTAAGGAATTTGAAATAGCTGCAGGGAAAGGAAGAAAGAGTTTATAAAACATGTGGAGGAGGTCTGTTATCTAATTTGAAAGTCCAATTATACTAGAGAACATGGAATTTTAATGGCACCACTTCATGATATTGATGGTAGAATGATGTTCCTTCAGGAGTTTGGTCTTTGGAGTCCTAGGAATAGAGACAAAAAAGTCTGGCTGAAAGATTCTTTGGAGTTATTTTCCTATTCTTGCCTACTCTCATGCTAAGCTCTAAGAAAAACAATAATATGACAGAAGTTCATGCAGCTCATCAGTCTTCTCCATAACACTGTATCTTTTATTAGTTCTTCCCACTTTCCATCCTCCCATCCATAACAACTCCTATTCCGTAATAAGTAGAAAACACATCAAGTGCAATACAGAGAGCAAATCTGGAAGTAGGATTTCACCCCAATTCAGAGATGTTTGTCCTTGGAAGTTTTTTCTTTTCTCTTGGGTGCTATTTGTACCTTGTGGAATATGGTGCCTACCTTACAGCACGGGAAACTGCTCAGATGGAGCCAGGCTCTATAGGCAAGTTAATGGAGTGATATTGTTCAGACTGAAACAAGTCTTCCCCATCCACCAGCATCCACATAGCAAATCTAGGACAAATAAAAAACTTAAATATTTTATATTACAAAGGAAAACAGTACTTGGTTAACTATACTGTGATTGAAAGGCAATGAAAATGAATTTTCAGCTATTGGCACTATGCATAAATCAGAAAACTCAGAGCATTAAGGAGGTGTGGATGTAATATCAAGGACAATAAAAAAGAGAAAAGTATGAGATGGGAGGGTTTAAAACATCTGCTGAATTCATGTCTCCATTCCTTAGGCTGTGGAGACAGGACATGCCATTTCAATCCTGATTGTACATTATCTTTTTAAGTCTTTCACAAGCACATTGTTTTGGATTTTTTTTCACATAGTACCATTGGTGGTCTTGTTGTAGGAGTGGAGAAATTATATGACGAGATTAATACAGTTCCCTGATCCCCACCTTCAGATTCACGTTATAAGTAGGACTTAAGGGAGTTAAAGATTTTGGCAGACAGTGATTGAAGTGTTGGCTCAAATGACATGGAATACAAAGGTGTGAGATTGAGAGAAATTGGGAGACAATGAAAGACAAAAGTATTTGGGTTTTCTTTGAGTTTGAAAAACAGGAATAGCAAGAGTAAGGGAGAGCTGGAAAGATTTAAATTGTTGGTAAATTGCTTAGGATATGAGAACTTTTTGTGTGATGACAAGGTATAAATTATGACTGTGAGTGGGTATGTTGCGGCAGTGTACAGCTAGTGTTACAGCTCTTGACCAGGGAAAGAACCAAGAGGCACACGAAGAGTTGGAGAACAGCCTTTATTCTTCCACAGCAGGCTCAGCACAGCTAGTGTTACAGCTCTCTTCCCGTCTTCCAATCTTCTCACCCTTCTGCCCCTCCCCCTTCCTTGTTCTCCTCTTTTTATACCCTTGGTAGGGTTCAAAAAGTGTCCAATCAACTACAAGCTTTAACATCCAATCAACAACAAGCTTTAACATCTAATCAAAAACAGTGGGATTCAAAAATTACCCAATTAGGATCACGCAAGCAGCGTGGCCGGAAACCAGGCTGCAGCATGTTGGCCCAGCCGATTCCAGCAAGCAGGGGCCCTGGGGCCCTGGGTGGCTCCCTGCCTGGCCTCCAACTGGCCACACGCAGTGCTGGCCCTTGGAGATACGGAGCCACGGGGAGGTGGCAAGCGGATGCGTCCTGGTGCCTGACATTTTCCGCATCAGGTAAGCCCACGAATTACAATGATGATGAACTGAAGAAGTAACCTTTTAAAACCCTTCAGTTTTCAGATGGATTGTTTATACGCTGGCTAATATTAGCTAGAAGAACAGTAGAATTTTTGATGGAGAATAACTATCAGGTGCCAAAGTCTTTGAAGTTTGTGCTAGAGTGATAGGACTGGTTGACGAGAAATATAAAAAATAGTGCAGCTAGACGTTGTAGGATGAATGGTTTGGTGTTGACTTTGTGAGCTGCGGAGAACAGGAAGTCACATTCTGGACCATGTGGTACATGTGACTTCTGAGAATGGGGCTTCTGTAGAGCAAGCCTTCGGGCAAGCAGTAAATTCTGTTGAGGCTCAGATTTAATAAAGTAAATAGTTGTAGGGAGATTTGTGTCAAGAGACTGGGGATGAAGTTTGATTTGTTCTTTCTTCCTTTGTCACTAAAGGAAGACTCTAGAAGGCACAAGAGAAGGTGTATGTAGGGATGTTATAGAGGAACTTAAATAAGGATAAAGAAAGCATTGATTAGAAATGGATTCAGAGTTCAGGAGATGATTGGTGTTGGGTTTGACATCTTCATTTTTCTATCTTCTATGCAAGGCTTCTTGGATTAGCTTGATTTAGATGCTCTTCTTTTGCGTTCTTATGAGAAACTGCACTTACCTTCATCAATATATTTATTACAATCAGGAGTGGAATCAAATTTTGAGGCCTGATGCATCTACGTGATGACAGGCCTATTTTAAGAAAAAAGAATACCAAATTACAATCGCAAACAATATATATAAAAATGAACATTTATTTAGCATAAGAAAGAAGCCACAACAAATTATCAATTTTAAAAGGTTGAAAGTACCATAAACGTCAAAAAATGTATTTCCTCATACTTAACTTCCTGGCACATTTACATGTTTTTCCTACAGTTTTTTAATTGCTGCTTCTTAATTGCCTCTCTATGACAATTACTTTGTTATAATTTCTAAGGCAAGAACTGAAAGGCATTTTCCTTTCCTTAGCATGTTTGCTAAAAATTTATTTTGTATCATTAATAGCTTAGAACAAAATTCAGCTTCACAACTTGTTATTGGTAGTGAGATGAATAATGACATATATTATTACCAAATTTTAGAAAAGCTTTATCAGATCCTTTATATATTAATTGTAATATTTCACTGCATTTCAAATTTTTTGTTTATAGTGAACTAATTTTGAAAACTCTCAATTTGGTGACTTTTATAAAGTGCATTGCTGGGCCTCTTCCAGGCTCATGGAAGTCTGTACAATGAGGATCCATGAAACATAAACTTTATTAGGCTCAGACTAATCTGGTTTGGATCATATATTATAATCGTCTGTTTACTTGTCTGTTTTTACACAGGTTTCGTGTTTCTTAGACTCATTTTTGTCAGTCATTTGAGACTATGATGAAATCTATGAGTTGTCCCCTCAGCAAAAGAAAAGGACACATAATTTACTCAATTTACAAAATATTGAATACAGTGTTATAGGCCCCCTAAAGTTTATTCTTGCTCCTGCCACAAATTTCTGCATGAATAGATAATTCATTTAATGATGTGTGGTTTTTTTCATAGTATCTAGTAAATGTCCTGTACTTTATATGCACCAAATACATAAATGCTTGCTTAATGAATAAGGGAAGAAATAGATGAATGTTGCCAGCCAGACTGTATGCCAGGTGCAGAAATTCTCCACTTTCAAAAACTGTTGGTAAATATATTTGAGCAAACATTGGGACTGTCCCTAGTTATGCTAAAATACCAGGTACTCGGATGCCTTTGCCCTAACAAGATGGAGTTCCTTTTTGCAAGGCCTTTAAACTACATAGATTCTCATTTTCTCTTCTGAAGGCATTTCCTTTTGTTTTTGGGATTCTCCTGCCAGTAACTAGGTAGAACAACATTGTTCTCCCCATACAGACCCTTAGAGGATGTCAGTTTTTATGAATGTTTTTCCTCTTATAAAAATTATAATCAAATAAGAATACATTTTAAGTAGCATTCATTTATGAGCCAAGGCAGTTCTCCACCACTCCTCCCTTTTTCTATTTTTCACTGTACACAGAGATATACTTGGCACTATAGAAGATACTATTATAAAATGAGTGAAAATCATTAACCCTGTGGTAAGGATTTTGTAGTCTAGTAGTGTTATGAGTGAAGGAGAATCCAATGAGATAGTAAATCATTTTGAGATAAATAAAAACTAAAGTAAACCATAAGACTGATGCAAATTGATATAAGAATTGTGATTATTTTTGATGTCTCCAGTTTTGATAGTCAAAGGAGAGACTATCAATAGTTATTGCAAAGGAAACAGGCATAAACCAATACTGTCTTGCACAAATTGAGATATATAGTCACCCTACTATTAAGTCTCTTTACTTTTGCTTTAACTTCTTATTATGGACATTTTCATACCACCTGTAAAATTGAATAATTATATAAATACCTCTCTTCTGCTTCAACAATTATCAACACATAGCCAATATTGTTTTATCTATACCCTTTAACTCACCAACCCCATTTATTAAAACAAGTAAGTCCAAAGTAGTTTCTTGCACATCAATCAGTTTTTTGTCTCTCCATGCTTTTTCTTTCCCAACTTTCTTACCCAATCCTATCACTATCCCTACCTGCCTTTTTATTTTTATTTTCAGCATTGTGGTTCTGATGATCCAACTCTGCCAGGACACAGATCTATAAAGGTCAGCCCTGCACCCTGAGCAGCTCAGGAGGAGCCAGACCAGCAGTTCCTCACACTCTGCACTCTTCTGTTCTGGACAGATAGTGCCATAATGGTGGCTATGGAGGCTGGAGCATCCATGAGAGTCACTCTACTGCTGCTCTGGCTTGGGGTGTCTCTGTACCCACCTGGCCTTTCCCAGGCTGGGCCCTCGCAACGCCTCAGCTCCCCAGAAGTAGTGATTCCCTCGAAGGTAACCAGCAGAGGCAGAGGTGCAAATGCTCCGGGATGGCTCTCCTATAGCCTGCTGTTTGGGGGCCAGAGACATATTGTCCACATGAGGGTCAAGAAGCTCTTGATTTCCAGACATTTCCCAGTGTTCACCTACACAGAGCAGCATGCCCTCCTGGAGGATCAGCCCTTTGTCCCTGATGACTGTTACTATCATGGCTACGTGGAGGGAGCCCCTGGGTCTCTGGTTGTTTTCAGTACCTGTTTTGGGGGCTTTCAAGGGGTATTACAAATAAATGACCTCACTTACGAAATTGAACCCGTGAGGCACTCTACCACATTTGAACACCTTGTTTATAAGATAAACACTAATGAGACACAATTCTTACCCATGAGATGTGGCTTAAAAGCAAAGGAAATAGCATACCAACACTTGGAATTGGAAGAGGTTGAGAACTCAGCTCTGAAACAAAATTCTACTGATAACTGGTGGACCCATGCATGGTTTCTGGAACTAGTTGTGGTGGTAAACCATGATTTCTTCATTTACTTCCAAAGCAACTTCTCAAATGTGCAAGAGGATGTATTTCTTGTTATCAACATAGTGGATTCCATGTATCAGCAGTTGGGTACTTATGTAATTTTGGTTGGGATTGAAATTTGGAATCAAGGAAATGTTTTTCCAATAATAAGTATAGAACAGGTTCTAGAAGATTTCTCTCACTGGAAACAAATCAGTCTTTCCCAGATACAGCATGATGCTGCACATATTTTCATTAAAAATCCTCTTATAAATACACTTGGTATAGCCTATGTTGCAGGAATATGTCGTCCTCCTATTGATTGTGGAGTTGATAATTTCCTAGGAGACACCTGGTATCTTTTTGCCAACACTGTGACCCATGAGTTAGGTCACACTTTGGGTATGCAGCATGATGAGAAGTTCTGTTTTTGTGGGGGAAAAGGTTGCATCATGAGTGATTTCAGAGTGCCAGCAGAGAGATTCACCAATTGCAGTTATGCTGATTTTATGAAGACCACTTTAAACCAGGGATCATGCCTGCATAATTTTCCAAGACCAGAGGAAGTCTTTACACTGAAGCGCTGTGGGAACGGCATGGTTGAAAGAGAAGAGGAGTGTGACTGTGGATCTGTACAGCAGTGTGAACAAGATCCCTGTTGTCTGCTGAACTGCACTCTGAGGCCTGGTGCTGCTTGTGCTTTTGGGCTTTGTTGTAAAGACTGCAAATTCATGCCATCAGGGGAACTCTGTAGGCAACAGGTCAATGAATGTGACCTTCCAGAGTGGTGCAATGGGACATCCCATCAATGTCCAGAAGATAGATATGTGCAGGACGGGATCCCCTGTAGTGACAGTGCCTACTGCTATCAAAAGAGATGTAATAACCATGACCAACAGTGCAGGGAGATTTTTGGTAAAGGTGCAAAGAGTGCACCTTGGAATTGCTATAAAGAAATCAACTCCCAGGGAAACCGTTTTGGTCACTGTGGTATAAATGGCACAGCATACCTAAAATGTAATACCTCTGATATCTTTTGTGGGAGAGTTCAGTGTGAGAATGTGGGAGTCATTCCTTCTCTCCAAGATCATTCTGCTTTGCAGCACACTCACATCAATGGTGTCACCTGCTGGGGTATTGGCCATCATTTAGGGATGGACATACCTGACATTGGTGAAGTTAAAGATGGCACTGCATGTGGCCCAGGAAAGATCTGCATCCATAAGAAGTGTGTCAGTCTGTCTGTCCTGTCACAAGTCTGCCTTCCTGAGACCTGCAATATGAAGGGGATCTGCAATAACAAACATCACTGCCACTGTGGCTATGGGTGGTCCCCACCCTACTGTCTGCTCAGAGGCTACGGAGGTAGTGTTGACAGTGGCCCAGCATCTGGAAAAGGAAGAGTTTTCTTGCCACTAATTGTGATTCCTTCTTTGGTTGTTTTAACTTTTCTGGGTACTGTTGGGCTTGTTATATATCTTCGACAATATTCTGGTCCCCAGGAGACTAAGGTTCACTCATCAGGTCTAAAAAATCTCTAATTTACTATCCCATGCATTATTGAGTTTTGGTCTTTTAGCGGTAGAAATGTTAGTACATGTCTGAATCTGAGCAGAGTTCTGACTGTTTACCGAAAGATTCAGGGATCTTCCCTTCTATCAGTATTAGAAATATTGTCATTAAGTACAAGTAATTCCTAACATGTTCCTAGCTACTGTTCATTGGTTTAATGCAGCAAATAAAGTACCATCTTGCCCTTTCTTTAGTTGTTTTGTGTTTCTTATGCATAGGTACGACTTACTAGAAAGGCAGGAGACAGATATCAGGGTATCTAGGAGTAAGTCTTGCCTCTTGACTGCCATTTAGCAATTTGGAAAATTACTTCAATTTTCTGAGATTCCACTTCAAAATCTGAAACAGGGGATGATAATAATGTTTGCCCCACTCAATTCCTTGGGCTTATGTGGTAACCAAAAGAGAAGGAAGTGAATTTTTAAGTATAAACACATTGTTTGTTTAATATTAATAAAAACTCCCAATCTTGTTCCCTGTGTGCTTCCTAGCGAAGCTTGTCTTTTTTCTTTGTCTTTCTTGCTTACTTATTTATTTAATTAATTTATTTAGAGTCAGGATCTCACTCTGCTACCCAGTATGGAGTACAGTAGCAAGATCATAACTCATTGAAACCTCAAACTCCTGGATTCAAGTGAACCTCCTACTTGGGCCTACCAAAATGTTGGGATTACAGGTGTGAGCCACCAAGCCAGGCTCTATTCTCTTTGTATGTACATATGTATGTATTTATTTATTTCAATAGATTTAGGGGGTACAAATGGTTTTTTGTTAATATGGATAAATTGTATAATGGTGAAGTCAGGCTTTTGTTGTACCTATCATTCAAATAATGTACATTTTACCGAATAGGTCAATTTTCATACCTCACCCCGCTCATACCCTCTCCCTTTCCGAGTATCCAGTGTCTATTTATACCACTATGAATGCTCATGCATACCCATTACTTAGCTCCCACTTATAAGTGAGAACAAGTATTTATTTTTCTATTCCTGAGATACTTCTTTTATGATAATGGCCTCCAATTCCATCCAAGTTGTTCCAAAGACATTGTTTCATTCTTTTTTATGGCTGAATATTATTCCACAGTGTGTGTGTGTGTGTGTGTGTGTGTGTGTGTGTATCACATTTTCCTTTATCCACTCATTTGTTGATAGGCACTTAGGTTGATTCCATATCTTTGCAACTGTGAATTGTGCTGTAATAAACATGAGTGCAGATGTCTTTTTACGTAATGACTTCTTTTCCTTTGGGTAGATATTCAGTAGTGGGATTACTGGATCAAATGGTAGGTCTACTTTGAGAAATCTCCATGCCATTTTCAAGAGAGGTTGTACTAAATTACATTCCCATCAGCAGTGTATGAGTGTTCCCTTTTCACCACATCTACACTAACATCTATTGATTCTCAATTTTTTAATAATGACCATTCTGATGGGGTAAGGTGGTATCTCATTGTGGTTTTCATTTATATTTCCCTGATGATTAGTGAGTTGAGCATTTGTATATCTTCTTTTGGAGTCAGATGTACTACCATTGCATGACAAGGTCTATATAACTTCTTTTGAAAAGTGTCTGTTCATGTCATTTGCCCACTTTTTAACAGGGTTGCTTGTTTTTATCTTGCTGATTTATGTTCCTTGTAGAATCTGGATATTAGTTCTTTGCTTGGATGTATAGTTTGCAAATATTATCTCTCATTCTATCAGTTGTCTGTTTACTCTGTTGATTATTTCTTTTGCTGTGCAGAAACTTTTTAGTTTAATTAAGTCCTATTTGTCTATTTTTGGTTTTGTTGTATTTGCTTTAGAGGTCTTTGTTATAAATTCTTTTCCTAAATCAATGTCAGAAGAGTTTTTCCTAGGTTTTTTTTTTAATTTTAATTTTTTATTTCAGAGTATTATGGGGGTACAAATGCTTTGGTTGCATCATTGTGCAAATTGCCTTTGCACTGCCCGACAAGCATGCCCATCTCCCAGACAGCGCACACCCATCTGGTGGATTTACCCATCCTCTCCTCCCTCCTTCCATCTGCCCAACACCTTATGAATGTTACTTCCCATATGTGCACATTAGTGTAGATCAATTAGTACCCATTTAATGGTGACTATATGTGGTGTTTATTTTTCCATTCTTGTGATACTTCACTTAGAAGAATGGGCTCCAGCTCCATCCAAGATAAATATAATAGGTAGTTCATCATTTTTTTTATGGCTGAGTAGTACTCCATGGTATACATATACTACATTTTGTTAATCCACTTAGGTATTGATGGGCACTTGTGTTTGTGTTGTTTCCACATTTTTTTTTTTTTTTGAGACAGTCTCACTTTGTTGTCCAGGCTAGAGTGAGTGTTGTGGCGTCAGCCTAGCTCACAGCAACCTCAAACTTCTGGGCTCAAGCAATCCTGCTGCCTCAGCCTCACGAGTAGCTGGGATTACAGGCATGTGCCATCGTGCCCGGCTACTTTTTTCTATGTATATTAGTTAGCCAATTTATTACTTTATATTTATAGTAGAGACGGGGTCTCACTCTTGCTCAGGCTGGTTTCGAACTCCTGACCTTGAGCAATCCACCCGCCTTGGCTTCCCAGAGTGCTAGGATTACAGGCGTGAGCCACTGCACCCGGCCTGTTTCCACATCTTTGCAATTGTGAATTGTGCTGCTATAAACATTGGAGTGCAGATGTCTTTTTTACTGACTCATCATACAGAGTGTGGTCGATTTTCCTAGGTTTTCTTTTAAAATTTTTATGGTTTCAGCTCTTCCATTTCAGTCTTCAATCCATCTTGAGTTAAGTTTTGTGTATGGTGAGAGATAAGGATCCAGTTTTATTCTTCTGCACATGGCTCTTCATTTTTTCCAGCACCACTTATTGAATGGTGCACCATCTCCCCAGTGTATGTTTATGTCTGCTTTATCGAAGATCAGTTAGTTGTATGTGTATGGTTTTATTTCTGGGTTTTCTATTCGGTTCCATTGATCTATGTGTCTACTTTTACCATGTTATTTTGATTACTATAGCCTTGAAGTATAATTTGAAGTCAGGTAATGTGATGCCTCCAGATTTAATCTCTGCTTAGGATTGCTTTGGCTATTTGGGCTCTTTTTTTATTCTATATGAAATTTAGAATTGTTTTTTCTAATTCTGTGAAAAATAATACTGGTATTTTGATGGGAATTGCATTGATCTATAAATCACTTTAGTTGGTATGGACATTTTAACAATATTGATTCTTTTAATTCATGAGTATGGGGTGTTTTTCCATTTGTTTGTGTCATCTGGATTTCTTTCAGTAATGTTTTATAGTTCTTTCTGTAGAGATTTTCACATCCTTGGTTAAATATATTCATAGGTATTTTATTTTCTTTATAGCTATTGTAAATGGTATTGAGATCTTGATTTGATTCTCAGCTTGGCTATTATTAGCATATACAAATACTATTGATTTGTGTATGTTAATTTTTTAACCTAAGGCTTTACTGAATTTATCAATTCAAGTAGTCTTTTGGAGGAGTCTAGGGTTTTCTAAGTATAAGATTATATCATCAGCACACAGGGATAGTTTCAGCCCCTCCATCCTGATTTAGATGCCCTTTATTTCTTTCTGTTTCCTGATTGCTCTGGCTAGGCCTACCAGTACTATGTTGAATAAGAGTAGTGAATGTAGGCATCCTTGTCTTGTTCCAGTTCTTAGGAGGAATGCCTTCAACTTTTCCCCATTCAGTATGATGTTGGCTGTGGGTTTGTCACATATGGATTTTATTATTTTGAGGTATCTTCCTTCTATGCTGAGAATTTTGAGGGTTTTCATCATGAAGTGATCCTGAATTTTATTAAATGCTTTTTGTACAATAATTTAGACAATCATATGGTTTTTGTTTTTAATTCTGTTTGTAAGGTGAATCACAGTTGTTGATGTGTATATGTAGAACCATCCTTGTATCCCTGGGATGAAACACACTTGATTGTGGTGAAAGTTATCTTTTTTATGTGCTTTTGGATTGGTTTTCTAGTATTTTCTTGAGGATTTCTGCATCTGTCTATGTTCATCATGGATACTGTTTTGTGTGTTTGTTGTTGTATGTTTTCCTGGCATTGGTATTAGGGTGATACTGGCTTTGTGGAATGAGTTAGGAAGGATTTACTCTTCTTCAATCTTTGGAACAGTTTCAGTCAGACAGGTAGCAGTTTTTCTTTGTAGGTCTGGTAGAATTTTGTTGTGAATCCATCTTGTCCTGGGCTTTTTCAATTGTTGTTGAGAAATTTTGTTATTACTGATTCAATCACATTTCTTGTTATTGGTCTGTTCAGGATTTCTAATTCTTCCTCATTCAAGCTAGGGAGGTTGTGTGTTTCCAAAAATCTATGCATTTTCTCTAGATTTTCTAGTTTTTGTACATAGAGTACAACACAACATAGTAGTGTTGGATGATCTTTTGTATTTCTGTGGTATCAGTCGTAATGTCTCCTTTTTCATTTCTGATTGACCTTATTTAAATCCGTTCTCTTCTTTTCTTAGTTAATCTAGCTAGTGGTCTATCGATTTTGTTTATTTTTTCACAGAACCAAGTTTTCATTTCATTGATCCTTTGTTTTGTTGGGTTTTTGTTCATTTCAAATTCATTTCATTCTGCTCTGGTCTTTTTTATTGCCTATCTTCTGCTAGTTTTAGGCTTGGTTTGTTCTTGCTTATCTAGGTCCTAGAGGTGTGATGTTAGGTCATTAATTTGTGCTCTTTCTTTCTTTTTGATGTAGCATCTAGTCTCTTTGTCTTAATTTGTCAGTTTGGGTATCTTTTTGGAGCTTGCTTTGATTCTAAAATATAAACTCCATGAGGGCAGGTTTTTAAAATCTGTTTTGCTCACTGTCATAGCCCTAATACTTGCCACAGTGCCTAATACATCATAAATGTTTGAAGGAAGTAATAATGGGTACTTGAATGAAGTGTTAAATGCATGATATTAACTAGGAAAATTAAAAATAATACTTTGCCATCTTGATGATGTCATTCTGATCCTATTTATTTTAAGACTATTGGGTCTCTTGCTAAAAATTAAACTTTGAATATTTAAAATAAATGTATTTAAAATGTTGTTGTTTGTACCTGGTGTACTTTGTTGGTCTTTGTGTCCCCAATTTGTCTTCTCCTCACTCTATTCTCAGTGGTTTTGGAAAGCCTATCTCT